TGCAGGGCTTGGACTCTGGCAGTGATGCTAATTGTAGATGTGAGCACAGATAGAGTTGCCCACTGCCTTCTCTAGGTCTTTCGTGAAGACCGTTCACCTAGCAGGCCAGCCTAGGCTACATAGCAAGGCTGTCTCAAGAAGAAACATAAAAGCCTTCTACTTGTTTCCACCTTGTGTTGTAAGCACTGTAACAAGCTTCCTGCAATTCAGTGGTTAGCAGATCTGAACTTCCATAAAACTGGTTATAATCAATGGGTTAGATTCAGTAGATTTGGGGTCAGAAACAAACAAGACTTTTTACCAGTTCTTAGACAAAACTGCTCCTTCTGTTTGGAAACCTCTTCTTAAAAGCCTTAAGAGCCACTGTTCTATGTGCCTTGCCTTGCCTTAGCAACTTCACTACTTTCTAAGTGGTCTGCAGCATGCCACCATCAGGCATCTAGTTAAACTACTGTCCCAAACCTGCCAGGTCCTATCTATCTATCTATCTATCTATCTATCTATCTATCTATCTATCTATCTATCTATCTTAGACAGGATCTCTCTTTGTAGCAGTAGCTGTCCTAGAACTCACTATATAGACTAGGCTGGCCTTGAACTCACAGAGATCCACTTGTCTCTGCCGCCAAAATACTGCAATTAAAGGTGTGCACCACCATACCCAGCTCCTGCCAGGTTCTAAATACTCAATTTCTTCATAGATATATTCACTCCTTTAACACATGCCTGCAGCCACCAACTTCACTCAGACTATATCTAATACAGCCAATAAAGTTGAGTACATATTAATAAAGTCAAAGTAATATTGATTGTTGTCTCTTTTGGAGAGGGGAAATTTAAATTTCATATTTCAATGGAAGCATGTTGGGCTCATGCTTGACTAAATGCAATTTTTTAGGGGAGGGAATAGAGAGTTTAAGGGTGAACACAAGGACATGGAAAGTGAAGGGGTGAGTGGCATCTGGAAGTCATACTCTGGCTCAGGTATATCTTTTTATCAACTTTACCACAGTGAAGAGTTCCTATAATGCGAATATTTAATATAGTAAGTGTGTCACTTCAAGTGTTAGAGCAAATATTATAGTGAAACTTTCTCTTTCACACTTGTATTCTCTAAGATTTACATTTAGAGATGTAAATCTTTACACCAGATGTAAACCTTTCTCTTGTTTGTTCTTCTCAAAGGGAACACAATGTAGGACCTGATTGAAAGGCATACAGAAATAGCTCCATGGAGATAGACATGTTTCCTGTCTAGCTCTTTCCTATTCTGGAAGGATTACACATGTGAACACTCTACTGTGCCCACTCCAGCCATGGCCTTGTGTCCTCCTCATATGATGGCAATGGACCACAATCATTTCTGAGAAACACAGTAGAGTGTTGGGTTTGAAGCCTGAAATCTAGATCTCTTTAAGCCTGGGATTCTTGTTTGTAAACTGAGGATGGCCACACCCACCTCACATGGTTGTTGTGAGGACTAAATAAGATGTTATATATAAACAACAAAACCTTCCTTCTTGTGCTGGCTAATTTTAGGACACAAGCTAGAGTCTTCAGAGACTGAGAAAATGCCTCCGTAAGAGCTGGCTGTCGGAAACTTTCTTAATTAATTATTGATGAGGAAGGGCCTACCCCATGGTGGGTGGTGCCATTCTGGGCTGGTGCTTCTGGGTTCTATAAGAAAACAGGCTGAGCAAGCCATGAGGAGCAAATCAGTAAGCAGCACCCCTTCACGGCCTTGGCACCAGACCCTGCCTCCAGGTTTCTCCACTCCTTGAGTTCCTGTCCTGACTTCCCTTGATGATGAACAGTTCCATGGAAGCATAAGCCAAGCAAGATGTGGTATGTGATGTCTTACCTCCCCAATTTGCTTTTGGCCTTGGTGTTTCATCATAGCCATAGTAACCCTAAGACACCTCTCTTCCTCTGTGATACTCAAAACAGAAATAACTTCAGTGCGGGTAAGTCAGACAAACTCCAAAGAGGAGAAGCATCCAGTCCCTGAGCATAGAACCAGAGAGGATGAGAGCAGCTTTCTTGTGTCACAAGGCAACTGATGTGGTATCTAATTTGATTAATTTGAGGCAACACTCATTATATGAAACTCACTGTGCAAATCTTCCTGGCCTTTGGGGGTTTCTTGAGGTGAGCGATTTTCAGTACTATGTCAGGAGAGCCCTAGGAAATAATTTAGAGTATCAAGAGTTCTGGATTGACCCTTATGCCAATGAAAAGAATTTCCCCCAAGTATACAACAAAAGGTTAAAAATGCAATTTTTTTTATATTGTTAGATTATGTCTGGTTTTTTCCTTTCTTTTACTGCCAAACTTCTCTAGGGTGATCTTTGCTCAACACTGGTCCTATCTCAAGGTCACTCAGCTGGTGTTATTCTAGGGTGTGGAATGAGATCTTTAAATAGTGACATTTAAAAGGCAAGAAGGGAGCATCTTTGTTGACAGCACATTCTACTTTCTCTTAAAAAATATTTTTTCAAACAACCTCACAGGGATAGAGAACAGCAAAGCTTTAGTAGAGTCCCACCTTCACTGATGGTTCCTAAGAACCATACTCCAAAACACTTCAGGGGAAGGTTGGGCTTAGAGCCCATCACAGTGCCCGCAGCCAAGCATGCCCTTGCTGGTAAGCAGAGGTCTCACTCCTGAAGTTCGGTGAACTAGGCAGACTGTTTTTCTTCCCAGAAGTTGAGGTCAGCATCATGACTAGACAGGTCACCAACATGAAGCCAGAAAGTCCTGGTGTTGGTAGCTTTTTTTTTTCTCACACCCTCACACCCCGTGTGTCCAGGCTCTTTTCTACCTGAAAGCCAGAAGGGATCCAGAGTCTTCCGTCCTTATTGGTCAGCTGCTATTCTGAACAAGAAGCAGATGGTGTCATTCCTCCTGACAGGCCACAATCCTGTCAACATGAAAGTCTGTGCCTCTCCCCTCTTGTCGAGCACCAGTTTCAAATGGGCAAGAGTCCCACGGCTGAAGTGCCACACGAGCTGGGTGGGGATTGCTCATGAGCACACGGAGCCATGGCAGTCATCGTTCTTTGACGTGATGGAGGTGACATTACTCACCTTTTCCTTTATATCTGTGACAACAGAGTCCTGATTTGCTCAACCTTCTGGTCTCTCCTCTGGCTGCCCTTCTTCCTAATGTCCTCAAAGTGGTCACACGTGGCTTGGTATCAATGTTTTGTGTCTCGGCTATCTTTTCTGTGTCCTCATTTCCCACTTAGAGCTTTCTCTCTCGCTTGGTGGTTCCCACATCATCTTCATCATCTCTGCATCCAAGTTCCTCTTCTCAAGGCAAGATTGCCATCACCTAGAACAATTCGTATCAAACTTGTTGGACTCATCTTGCCTCCTCATAAAGTTCCTGCATAAACTTCTGTTTCTCTCAAAAATTGTGGATAATCTTTCTTTCTCTTGGTTTAGAATCTTGGCATCAGTTTTAACTCATTTCCACACCCCCAGTCAGAAACCAACCAGATTCTCCTCTTATAATGTCTCCCGTCTGCTTCATCTTTCTGTTTCTGTTGTCTTCAGTATCATCCATGCAACTTCATCATATTCTCTACCTTATCTAGCTCCTCTTACTCCATCCCGGCTAGCTCCCAGATCACAATGTAAAATGTCTCTTTATTGTGTACCAAACAGTTCCAGATTCCTTAGTCTAATATTTAAGAATTTCTACACTATGTCCACCACAAACTTTCCCCTTAGGAATGATCTCAAACACACCAAGAGTCAATCTGCATATTAAACTGGTGTTAGGCAATCAGTTAGCTGGACCATTGCATACAAATATATATTTGTATGCAATATATATATTATATATATATATATATATATATAATATATATATATTCTTTGAACATATTCTATTCTGCCTCAGTCTATCATAGTTCATTTTGGTTACTATAATAAGACACCAGAGGGAGGCTAGGTAACTTATAAACAACAATATGACAACTTATTTCTCACTTGGAAGTCCAAGGTAGAGATTATGGCAGATTTGCTGTGCTTTGAGGGCCTACATGCTGTTTCACAGCTGTCTTCTTTTATGTGCTGATATGACAGAAGTGATGAGGGTCCTCTCTCCCAGACCCCTTTTATGAGGGCACCAATTTCACTCATGCTCTACAGATCCAATTGCTTCCCAAAGATATCACCTCCAAATATGATCACATTAGTGATTAAATTGCAGCATTAGAAACTTTGGTGGGCATAACATTCAGCCATTAATGCAGCCCAACCCTCTCAGCCCTCTGACTCTGTCCAGCTTCTTTCTGGCTCCCATACCCTGTTTTTCTGCTACCCTCAGCCTATTTGATGTTCAAGGTGCAGATTCATATCTGTCTTCTGGTTTAGAGTGGCAGGAGAGTGGAGCACCCTGGGATGGGATGCTCCTCCATGATTACTCAGTGAGCCTGGTGGGGTCTAGAATGAGGGTTCAGGATAATCAGATCAAGACAAAATCATTCCAAGAGGAGGCACAAACTGGCAAGGTTGGCTAACAATTGTTGTAGGGGTACGTAGTGAGTTGCTTATTGTATATGTTTGTTAACCTTTTGTATACATTGAAAGAATTAATGGGAGAGAAATCACCCCCAACAAATTACCTAATGCTAAATAAATAAAAAATAAAGTTCTGTTCCTTCTGACGTTTGAGCACCAGCCTCCCAGCTTTGCCCCAGATGAACACACAGCTAGAACTGTCCTGCTGATTCCCTAGACAGGAGGTGGAAACTCACTTGCCTGTCTCACTTATCCTGTGTATACTTTGTCTTTGCCCAAATAGAATGTTGTTTTCAATTGAATTGATTGACACTACTTAAAATTCTAAGTGTTGCTTTGATATATTGTGTAGTAAAATATATTTTGCACTATGATGAAATAAAGAATACTTATTTTATAAGAGCAAATATGTAGGTTACATGAACATCGTCCTAAAATGTTTATGCATTGTTTATCCCTCTCAGTAGCGCTATGGGGTGGGTATTGATATGGATTTAAGAGAGCTTAAGAAGTGTTCCCAAAGCCTCATAGCTACTGGCCTGTAGAGCTATGAGACAAATCTATGCAGTTGGTCTCCCGGCCACTCCACTGAACCGAGCTCACAGAAATCTCTTTCCCATCTTAGAACAGAGAAGATACTGCAACACATTTTCTCATAGACGCAAGCAACCAAAGCTGAGTAACTTCAATTCGCCCAAAGGCAGAACAGCTTCTGTTCTGTCCCCACTGTAGCATGCGTCTAGAGTTTGGGTGGTTTGACCCCTGACCTAGCCCCAGCACAGATGTAGACACTAGATGAATGGCATAGGATAGGTATGCCCCAGGTCAAGCTGAACATCAAGGTGGCGCCTCGGTAGACGAGAAGCCCCATAGGGAGGCAGAGGAGACTGGGGCTGGATGGGTAACTGAAGGTATTCAGTGCATCATTGTAAGAGCCTGGGCCAGCATGGCCTGACTCGGAAACCTGACTCCACACTTAGCAGATGAATGAACTTGGGTAAGTTACTTAGCTTTTCAAGTCTCCACTTTCTTGACCGAAAAATGAAGCAACTCCAACCAAGGTGGTGAGCAGAATTAAATGAGAGACTATGTGAAGTCTCTTTGGCCCCAGATCCTATAAATAATTAAATACTTTCCTTTAGTGATAATTCATATTTTCATATTTCCCCTAGACTTAAGAAGCCAGAAGTTGGGAAGACATGGTAAGTATCAGGATTTTGTTGGAGCTTCATTGTGTAAAGCTCCAGGTCTGACTCCGTTTATCCCAGAGCCCAAGCCAATGTCTATAGATGTGGCTGTGTGGGTTAATGATATTCATCTCCAAGAAATAGACACCGACTGAAGGCAGTGTTGAGGAACATTCATGAGCAAATGAGTTCTTAGTGAAAAACTGAAAATGAATTGCTAAACACATAGAATGAGTATATGATGAGATAGAGATGTAAAGTACTCTGGTGCAGTCAGTAGCCATTGTAATATCTACTGAATTATTGTGCAATGTCAATACTATTTTTAAACTAAAGATAAAATATTAAAAATGCCAACAATAACCTAAGTGGCAGACGGCCCCTTCATTTAGGAAGTATTACTGAATACTACAGTGGCCTATGTCCAGAGCTAGATGTCAGCCGGGAAAACGTGAACAAAACCTCCTGGAAGGTACTGTGGAATACTGGCTAGATGAATGGCCGTGCACTCACACTCAGGGGCGTCACATTCACCTTCACTCTGAAGAAAGTTGGCAAAGAATAAATTCTGTTTTGGTGTTGAATTACATTATATACAAAAATATAATCTCAATATACTGTAGATCAAAATGGAAAATAAAAAAAAGAAACAAAGACTCCAGAAGCCATATAAATGCATATTTTCATGACCTTAGGCATAAATTTTAAAATATTTTAATTAGTTCTTAAAGAATTTTATGCAACACATCTTGATCATATTTATTCTTCCCCCATAGGCTCCTACATCCACCCTTTCCACTTTTTATGTCCTCTTTTCTTTTAATCTTTAGAAGAGATTATTTCACAAAAGTAATAAGCATAATGAGAAATATTGGTAAATTGGAATTCAATGAGATTAAGAAACGTTAAGGTACTTTTTTTTAAAATCTAGTCTCATGTCTTAAAAAAACAAAGTGCAAAATTGTATTCATAGCTGTGCTGGTTAGTCTTATGTTGACTTGACACAAGCTAGAACAGTGCTTCTCAACCTGGGGGTCACGACTCCTTTGGGGGTCACAGAGCCCTTTTACAGGGGTCACCTATCAGGTATTGTGCATCTTAGATATTTACACAACAATTCACAGCAGTAGCAAAATTATAGCTATGAAGTAGCAATGAAGTAATTTCAGGGTCGGGGTCACCACAGCATGAGGAGCTATATTAAAGGGTTGCAGCATTAGGAAGGTTGAGAACCACTGAACCCCAGTATCCTGAAAGGAGACTCTATTAAGAAAATGCCTCCGTAAGATGCAGCTGTAAGGCATTTCCTTAATCATGGGTGGCACCATTCCTGGGCAGGTAGTCATGGGTAGTATAAAACACCAGGCTGAGCAAGCCATTGGGGAGCAAGCCAGTAAGCAGCACTCCTCCATGGCCTCTGCATCAGCTCCTGCCTCCAGGTGCCTGTCATGCTTGAGTTCCTGTCCTGACCTTTGATGGTGAGCTATGACATGAAAGTATAAGCTGAAGAGACCCTTTCCTCCCCCCGACTTTTTTTTTTTTTGATGTGATGTTTCATTACATGAATAGCGACCCTAAGACAATAGTATTATAAATGTGTTACAAATCACCCATAATACATAGTTTGAAAATAATAGCTGTCAAATGTAGTCTTACAGCCAGATCTTCGGGCTCCGTTTTAAACACACACACCACTTACATAGCACGAACTGCTAAAAAGACTCCCCCAAAGTTCTGTGCTCCCAGTTATCTGTACATTGAGGTTGCCAAGGTGGTCTTAAAGAGACAGAAGGTAAGGACCTTAAAACTCACTGCAGGAGCGCATTCAGCCCCCCCCCCCCTTCCCCCACTCACCTGTCTCCTCTGCCTTTGTCCCCGCTGTGTCCAGGGCCGGGCACGCAGGCCTCCGCCTGCTCAGCACAGGCACTGTGAGGGGTGTGTCAACCGCCACTGCCACGTCCCGGTGGAGCCCAGCGTCTCCTGCCTGGTGATAAGCTGCCGCCTGCTCTGTGGCGCTACCTTCCACATGTGCAAGGAGGCGGAGCATGCGCTCCTCTGCCCTCTAGAGCAGGTCCCCTGCCTCAACTCCCAGTACGGCTGCCCGCTCTCCATGGCGCGCCACAGGCTGGCCAAGCACCTGCAGGCGTGCCCCGCCAGCGTGGTCTGCTGCTCCATGGAATGGAATCGCTGGCCAAATGTGGACTCGGAGACAGTCCTTCACGAGAACATCATGAAAGAGACCCCCAGCGAGGAGTGTCTGGACACAGCCCTGGCCCTCCGGGACCAGAAGGTGCTCTTCAGATCCTTGAAGATGGTGGATCTTTTCCCAGAAACCAGAGACGCCACCGAGGAGGAGCCAGCCGTGAACGGTGACACCAGCTGGGAGGAGACTGGGGGCGCGGCGGGGGGAGTGGATGGCAGGCCGGGACCACACCGTGGCCTGCCGGCCACCGACGGACAAGCGATGGAGCTCAGTCAGGAGGAGCGAGCCGCCTTGGCGAAAACCAAAGAAGGGATGGACCTGGCCAGGTTCGGCGAGTGGGAAAGCATGTTCAGCAAGGAGCATGCGGCCTCCGTTTTAACAGGCTCCTCGGCCGAGAGTGAAGACAAGAGCGGGAAGGCGGCTGGGAAGGGGCAGCGTCCCGGTGATGGTGGCACAGGGCGCGCTGAGGGCTCTGCGGAAGGGAGGGGACCGCAGGAAAGCCAGAAGCCCCAGGATCTTCCCGCCGCCATAGAGATGACAGGCCTGGCCCCCTGGCAAGATGGTGTTCTGGAAAGACTGAAAACAGCCGTGGATGCCAAGGACTATAACATGTACCTGGTGCACAACGGGCGGATGCTCATCCACTTCGGCCAGATGCCCGCTTGTACCCCCAAGGAGCGAGACTTCGTTTACGGCAACCTCGAGGCCCAAGAAGTGAAGACGGTTTACACCTTCAAAATCCCCGTGAGCTACTGCGGGAAGCGAGCTCGCCTGGGAGACGCCATGCTGAGGTGCAGACCAAGCGAACACAAGGCCGTGGACACTTCTGATCTGGGCATCTCTGTGGAGGACCTGCCCAAGTCCGATCTCATCAAGACCACCCTCCAGTGTGCTTTGGAAAGGGAACTCAAGGGCCACGTCATCTCTGAATCCAGGAGCATCGATGGACTGTTTATGGATCTTGCCACCCAAACATACAACTTCGAGCCGGAGCAGTTTTCCTCGGACACGGTGTTGGCCGACCTCCTAGGCGCTGCCCAACCCGGGGGCCTGCACGTCGAGCTCCACAGCGAGTGTGTGACCCGAAGACACAATAAAAGCAGCTCAGCTTTCACTTTCACCTGCAACAAATTCTTCCGCAGGGATGAGTTTCCCCTGCACTTCAAGAACGTCCACACAGACATTCAGTCGTGTCTCAACGGCTGGTTCCAGCATCGATGCCCGCTGGCCTACTTGGGATGCACGTTTGTTCAGAACCACTTCCGCCCCCCTGGACAAAAAGCGAAAGTGATCTATAGTCAGGAGCTGAAGACCTTTGCCATCAAGCCAGAGGTTGCACCGGAGCTGAGTGAAGGACGGAAGAGCGACCATCTCCCCGGCCACGGTGGGAAAAGCCTGCATTCTCTAACCAGCCTGCCCCTGGAAGTTTTACAATACATTGCTGGGTTTCTGGACAGCATCAGTCTGTCCCAGCTGTCCCAGGTGTCCGTACTGATGAGGAACATCTGTGCCACTTTGTTGCAAGAGAGAGGAATGGTCCTCTTGCAATGGAAGAAGAAGAGGTACTCTCATGGAGGCACCTCCTGGAAAGTCCACAGTCAGGCAAGTAAACATTTGTCACTCATTCATTCAATAAATATTTATTAAGAGCTCTCTTGGGGACAAGTGCTGTATCAGGCATTGGGAAGGGTGCTGGAAAGAAGACTCTCTCAAGCTCAGTCTAGCAGGAAAGGCATATAAACATGTTCGGCAGTACAGATGCCAGTGCCTGCTTATGAGCCTTGCGTGCCTTTCATTTGCTCACTCATTCATTCCACACTGGCTCTATTCTCCACCCTTCTCCACCAGAGACTTCTCTCCGCAGCTTGCCTCAGCTGGCTCCCCTGCCCTCCAGCTTCTCGTTAGACTAATCCAGCCTGAATGTTTCAGTGGTGAAGGGTCCACGCTCCTCAGCCCACCCCTCCCCTTCAAGACACCACAAAGTGGCTATGCCCCTCCACCAGGTGGGCGTCCACACCAGGTGACTTGTTCTACACAGCTGCTTGTTCTGGCTCTACTGAACAGCTTCCCTCTTTCCATGCAACTCTAGGCTTCTAGCTTTGGATATTGCCTCCAGATTTGTAAACCATCCCCTTCCTTCAATCTTACCCCCTCCCCCCAAAAAAAACCCCAAACACCCCATTCAAGTGTATCACTTACTCCCTGCTTCGACTCTGATTGATGTAACAGATAAACAAATTCATCTCAATCTCATGCCAACAAACCTTTAGACACAGGTTTTATTTTGAAATCGTATATGAGTTTGGTTCATTGACTTCCCAAGGCCGCATTGCCTATTTAATATAAAACACTGCAGTATATAACGCAAATAATCTTTTCCTTCTGTTAAACCATGTTCCTTTTCTCAATTGAGTCATCTTCACAGAGTTACAACTTCTACAGAAGTAAGACATCTAATCCATTATCTTGAAAGTGTTTGTAGTATCTTTTCCCATGGCAAACGTGTTGATAATATGAATATAAGATGTCTATTTACATCATTAATATCACTGTTGTGTTTGTCCCTAATAGGTGGATCTTCACAAATTGGTAGGGAGGATTTAGAGTTTGTATCTATTTTTATAAATTATATCCAAAGTATCCTGTATATTTTCCTTAATTATTCATTAAGCAGTCCTCCTGGAAAAATAATTATAAGACTCTCTTATGTATCTATGCCTATATTTGTGTGTTAAGGACCAGCTGTCACCAACCACATTAGTGATAAACATTTGTGAGAACTGTGTACTGCCTCTAGAAGTAATCTAAGACCAGCACATATCTTTCTCAAGCGCAATCAGATGTCAATAATTTAATTTACAAACAAAAAATCCTCACTTTTTTTTTTTACTCATATTTGCCCCAAATTCAAATATTTCTGGTCCACTTTGGGATCTAACTTGGAACAGGCTAATTTCCTTGCAGAAAGGGAGAATGAATTTACATGAGGCTAAAGGATACTCATATGAAAGTGGCTTTTTAAATAAAATGGATAACAGTTGCCCAGGAACAATGATCAAATATGGTGGTAGAGCAGTCAGGCCAAAAGGGCATCAGTGTGTCCAACCTCAGACTCTCATAACAGGTAACTTTGCTACCCCAGCCCATATTTTAAAAATATCAATGTTTGACTGAATGCCATATTCACCAAAATCTCCTTTGAGGTCTTTATTCTAATAAGACCCTTCTTTGCTAGGATATTGTAATTTTGAGTCTTAGAAAACAAACATAAAGGTACATAAATATATGTAAAAGAAATATATTAACTTATGTAACAAAAACATCCAAAGACAACAGCTCCAGGTAAGGCTTAATCTAGCATCTCAAAAATGACCTTTGTTTCTTGTCTCCTCAGTTCTGCAGTTCTGGCTGCATTCTAAGCTAGCTCTTTTTCAGTGTCTCTGGCAGGTGCCTTGGGTTCCTCAGACCCCAGCTTCCTCAGTCCAAGTTCCAGAGCAGAGTCCCAGGTGTGATCATGGCGACTTAAACTGTGTGTCTAGAATTAACACCTGCTGCTCACAGGGGTGCTGAGGAAGGGGTGTGTCAGTCATTTTGCTATCAGGCGTCACAAACAACTACAAAGCTGGCTGGGAAGACTACTAATTAGCAAGGTTCTAGACATTAGATGGAGGAAAAAGAACTCATGAATGTCCCAACAGTCTCTGGGCACTGGGGAAGCTGAACGCAGGGGCACAGAGCCACCTCACACACTGTCCAGACTGTGCCACCTCTGAGCAGGCAGGGCTCACTGCCTGCGCTCACCTGTGAGCTTCTCTCTCCTGACAGATCTGGCAGTTCAGCAGCCTCTTCTCCAGAATCAAGAGCTGGGAGTTTAACGACGTCACCTCCATGTCCGAACACCTGAAAGCCTGTCCTTTCAACATTGTGGAGCACAAGACTGACCCGATCCGTTTGACCAGCATGTGCCAGCCCCAAGAGCAGGCCCAGAAGAGCTTAGTGTCCACGTTTAGGGCCCGACCACGGGGCAGACACACCTAAAGATTTGCACACCACGGCTCCTGGCTTCTCAGAGTTATTGAAAGTAGGACAGTATGGTTTCAGGATGCGTATCTGCTTCACTGGGTCTAAAGAATGTGAAGTCCTTCAGGCCTTACCAACTACACTAGGAGAGTAGTTTTCTGAGCTATGGCTTGTATGATAGTGACACACACAAACAAACACACACACAAACACACACTCACTATATCCTTATCTTATTCCTTTCTTATTTTCATTTCCTAAAATAGATCAGACTGGGGAGAAAATAAGTAACTTAAAGCTATTCAATAAATGAACCCAAATCCTTAATTCTGTAAGCAATTTAGACTGTGATTCTACATTGAGCTGTCCAGTTCATAAACCACCTTCAAGTTCTTGGAGTAGACAATACAAGGACACTGTCTGAGGTGCAGTGTTCTCCCAAGGTATCTTGAGTAGAGGGAACATAGCTGGAAGGTTCTAAAGCTTTGTCTGTCTTGACAACTGAGGGCTTTTAAAAATCACCCTACCATATCAAAGCCCAGATGGGTTCAGTGCAACCCAACAGAATGAACCACACTGGGTAAACCCAGCAGTTTCAAGGCAACCCAACAGAATAGACCACACTGGGTAAGCCCAGCAGTTTCAAGGACACCACAGGACAAAGCAGAATAGCTTGTTGTACAAAGTTTTGGCAACACACAGAAAGAACATCTTTCGAATGAAGAAAAGGCCAAAGGTCTCTAAGAGCAAAGTAGCTCCCAGCTGAGAGCCACTGTCGTAAAGGATGGTACACCAGCAATGGTAAGTTAGGATGCACTCACTCTTTAATGTGACAAATCTGATCTCACACAGCTACTCGGTGGCCATAATTCAATGCAACTCTTACTTGTTTACTAAATAAGTTTTAAACATGTGATGATGCTAAATTGAGAGCCAGATGGAGCTGATCTACCCAATATGGTTTTGTGTCCCTGGGCCACAGTGTAATATGTCCTCCCTGCCCTCTTTAGGGAAACGTGAAACCAGGAACATAACTTATCTGAGGTTAAGCTTCCTTTCCCTCAGTTGGGACCATTTTCCAGCAATCCTAAAAGTTCTCAAGCTAAAGGAAAGGGGAAGGCAAGCATCCCAGGGAATCAGACAGCCAATAATTCAAATGATGAAAGAGCCTCGCCAGTAAGAGAGCTGGTGTCTGGGCATTCGTGTCTTGACCATGGTTCAGAGCTGATGCAGATGAAGAAGCTGATGCAGATGAAGAAGATGGTGTATATGAAGAAGCTGATAGAGATAAAGAAGCTGGTGCCTTTGCAAAGGGTCCTGAAGGCAGCAGAGCAAGTCCATACTGAAAGTGTGCTCATTCTCTGCTTTACTCCTCTCGTGCTATTGTTAACACAATGCTATTATCTATGCCGAATCTTTAGAGTTTCATTTGTGTTTTACCACTGTTTTGTGAGTCATCATTTTCTAAAACTGAAGAGGGTTCTCTAGGATTTTTATCCAGTGAATATAAGTAACCGAAAACAGCTAAACAACGAGATGGGCAAAAGGGAAACGAGTTCTTCTGGCATCAGTTTGGTGCATTTGGAATCTGGTTCTTACCACAGGGTAGAATGAGGTTCTCAAAGCCTCTCAGGGTTTCTTATTAGAGAAAGAGGGGAGTTCAAACCATGAACTCTTGTGTATCTAGTAATCTAGATACACAAGCCAGGAACTGCAGAGACACAGGGAGGGCCAGAGGACATGGCTCTGCCACCATAAGCCACACTGCTGGAGGCGACCTGGCCCAGGAGAGCAGTCAGGACACACTTTCCTCCCCCAGTTTCTATCTCAGGGCAGTATCTAGATGATTGACATCTACAAACATTTTAATAAGGGAATTCGTAATTTATGCTGGAGGAAATCAAGACACCCCAGGCACTCCCTGGTCCCTAAAAATACACTCACTTTGTGTGAAGAGTACAGACATAGCAAAAGGGACCTTTTCTGAGATACCAGGTTTGAGAGAAACCAGATAGCTCCTCATGGCTTCAGTTTAAGAGTAGTTGAGGAGGGTGAAGAGGGCTGTATTGCAAGCATAGAGCCTGGACAGGAAGACATCTATGAGTGGAAACCTGTGACCAACATCACCCTCAAGACAGGCAGCCTAGAGGTGCAAAGCAGCTGAATGCAGCAGGGGAAGGCTATAGGAGTAAGCCCCAAACGACCTGTGGCCTCAGCAGCATAGCGACTTGAGAAGGAAGCTTGTCTTACAAGAAAAGGTCAGATGGGAAGCAAGGTGAGAACTAGAGATAGGTTTAAAGCAACAACAAACAGCGCTGTACAAGCCTAATGGACGTGTGATGCCAAATCAAACTGAAACGGAGAACACAGGTTTGTGTATCTACGATGACTTATCTCTATACACCAGCAACCCCAATATCTTTCTAACAGGAAATAAAACCTCCTCTGCACACGGAAACGCTAAGGGGATAAGTCTTGTGAGTTAGGTCTAGAGACAGACTTATGACTCAGTGCCATAAAAGTCATCATTAAAATCCAGCAGTGTTGGTCTTGAAGAAAGGCCAACCAAAAGTCTAGACTATGCGGAGCTCTAGAAAGGTGGGGCCGCCTCTAAGAGGCCCTGGGGCTGCTGTGATCTCAGCTATGAATCGTAGTACTTCCATCCAAATGCCTTTCCTTTTTTGGGAGCTGAAACCAATGTCAATACCGCTAATGGCTTTGGCTACTATATCTATCAAGCAACGACGCCCTACTTCAGTCCCTGACTTTTGCCTGGATTGTATGCCAGCATCTTCCATCTCTGCCTTTGCTGGGGCTGGTTAAGGCCACTTTGCCTCCCTCGTCCCCGTATTGTGCTTGGGGAGGCATGTTTTACTCACTATGGCTAGCTGCATGTCCTCATCTCTTCCTACCCGTTCCCACTCTGGACTACACGGAAGCCTCATGAACTTTGTCCATCTATCCTTTCCTGAACATGGGTTCCAGTTGTCCTGGTTTCAGGAAGCCTGGGTTTTCCCAAGGCCCTAGGCGCTCTTCGACCTCACCTAAATTTGTTCTTTGGTGTTATTTTCTTTTGGGCAACCATCCCTTCCTACTCCCAACCCTTTAATCTGTGCTTCTCCCTCAAGAATTCCCATGTGGCCTGGTACAGAAGAGGACAATGCAGCCACTTTTGTCGAGAACTGATAGACTAAGATCAGAAAGAAGAGGAGAACCTCCCCTATCAGTGGACCTGGGGAAGGGCATGCATGCAGAAACGGGAGGGAGGGTGGGATCAGGAGGGGAGGAAGGAGGAGCTTATGGGGGGATACAAAATGAATAAAGTGTAATTTATAAAAAATAAAAAAAATAAATGTTCTGCCATTTAAAAAAAAAAAAAAGAATTCCCATGTGCCAGGAGAGGGGGGGGATGGCTCAGTGCTTGCCTGCCAGCCATGAGGACCCAAGTTCGACCTCTAGAACCCATGTGAAATGCCAGATGTGGCAGCTTTTGCTGACAATCTTGGTCCTGAGGAGGCAGAGACAAGAGGCTCCCTGGGGCTCCCTGGCCAGCAAAGCCTAACTGGGGAGCTCCAGATCAAAGAGAAATCCTGCTTAACAAGGGTGGGTTGTACTCCTGAGGATTGACAGCCAACGTTGCCCTCTGGCCAAACACACGTACACCTGAACACACAAGTGTGCCTGCACACACACACACACACACACACACACACACACACACACACACACACAATCATCAAGTGAGGAAAAGGTCTGGCTGTTTTCCCAGGTAGGAAGCTAACCTCATACAACTGCAAAAGCCGGTAGAGGCTGAACCACTTTAATCTGGATGTCACCTGACTCCATTATTCCATATTGATGACATTCACAAGTGTGACTGACACAAACCTAGACACATAGGAAGAAAAATTTTAGTTGGGAAAGTACCAATGTAAGATTCCCCCATATGCAAGTCTGTGGGGCATTTTCTTAATTAGTGGTTGCTGTGGGGGAGGACCCCGCCCACCAAGGGCCATACCATCCCTGAGCAGGTGGTTCCAGATGGGATAAGGAAGCGGGCTGAGCAAGCCATAGGGAGCAAGCCAGCACTCTTCCCGGCTTCTGCTCCAGCTCCTGCCTCTAGGTTCATGCTCTGAGTTCCTGCCCTGACTTCCCTCAGCGGTGGACTGTGACCTGAGGGCTGTAGACTGAAATAAACCCTTTCCTTCACAAGCTGCCTTTGGCCGTGTACTTTATCACACCAACAGAAACCTTGACTAAGGCTACAGGCTTGTCTGTTTTGAACTGGGGCTAAGTTACAGCAAAATGAACAGGCCTAGCTCCGGACCTCCAAGGCACAGGATTTGGGCAGTGACGAGAGGACCACATCCTCATGGCCATGTTAGAGGGGTCTTCTGGGTGTACCTGAGAGAGGGACAGAAGGTCAGGGCCAGGGAGGCCTGCGTTTAAAATCACCACTTAGCCCAGTACAAAGCTGAGCCGTAGTCTCACTTTATTTTTAGTCTTAGGACTAAACAGAAGGGCAGTTCCAATTTGTCTCTGAAGGGAAAAAAAAAAAATGAGCAAAACCATAACCAGGCAGATCAGGCAGCCTAGTGAGAGCTTCCCTCTAAGCTAGCACATGAGGAATCCCGTCAATCGAGAGGGAGGAGAGCGGAGCTGGAGTGCTGTTGATGGAGGCAGGGCTGAAAGATGATTCCATGAGCTCCCCCAGGGATGAGTGGACACAGAGCGAAGGCTGGTTCAACCCAAAGCTCTTGATGAAGCAGGAAGGGGGGGGGACTGCCAGAACCTCAGGCTTCCCTTGTTTTATCAGGTCCTTGCAGCGGAACTGCGGAGTGGGTAGAGGGAGGCAGTGCAGCAGAAGACAATGGGCTCTGGTCTCTAGAGGAGCTTGACATAGTTTGCAGGAAAGAGTCCAAAGTGGCCATGGCAACGGCCCCGCCACCAGCCTTCATCCACCATCTCAATGTCAGTGATGATATCGTCTGGGTCAAAGGAAAGCTCATCGCTTCCCTCTGGGGAGGAAGTTGAGGAGACATTAGGATGGTCCCACAGGAACCCCTCTATGCCTCCCTGTGTCCATTCTAAGCCTCAGGGAAGGAAACAGGCCTGGTCTCCTGGGCCCTTTCTTGACCCGAAGAATCCACCCCTTTTCCTACGTATCAGGGGCCACCAGGTGTTCCAGGCCCTTCAGGTGGCTTCGAACTTACCTCCTTGGTAATCATACAGGGCTACAGCAGAGGTGCTCAAGTCAGCAGCCCCAGCTGACGATCCTGAATAATGAGAAATATTAGCATCAACACGGAGAAGGGAAACAGATCCTGTTGGGCGGAGGGGAGAGTCCTCCTCCTTCTCTGCTGTCCCCAAACCGACCAGATTTGGGAGGAGCTTTCCCCTCCCCATTCGCCCCACTCACCAGCCTGGTAGGACAGAGAAGGGGTGTCCAGGGGCTCCAGCACATCCTCGTAGTCTCCCTCTGCTTCCTCATCCCGCTGATCTAACTCCCCAACATCCTCATAGTCATTCTCGGGTTCAAGCTCAGGCTCAGGCTCAGGCTCAGGCATGGGCTCAGCTTCATATATAGGCTCTTCCACCACCTGGAGGCCTTCTGGAGTCCTAGGGGGAAGTGCTGGGGGCTCTTCGTTGTCCTTAGGAGAGATGTGTGGACCAGGGGGATTCAATGATGGCTTCATGAGATTGCTAACACCCTCACCAGCAACCTCTCCCCTGCCGTTTGGAAGCCTTTCTTCAGGAGTAGTCTGTTCTTCATTCCCCAGCCTCCTAAAATGCTCACCCTCTCACATCAACTCCCCAGAAATGACAGGAGGGGAAATCAAGGTGTGAGAGGAGGGTTGTGGAAAGCAAGGCAGAGGCTGTGGAAAACCAGGAGAACATAAAAGCGAAAGCACACTATTGGGCTACCACAGCCAGGAAAACCGGCTGTCCAGGCCTGCCCAAGACTGGGGAGTTTCCGGAATGCAGGACTTCCAGTGCTAAAACCAGAGCAGGCAAGCAGGATGGTTGGTCACTCCTAAACAGCCCTCCTTCTTAAGACGTGAGAAGATGAGTTGGGACAGAGAAGCTCTGGGGCTTACCTCCAGTGGATTCTGTGGTGGACTCTGCCTCACAGGCAAAGAAGGTACAGTGTGGTCTCTTTGGCTCCTCACAGGCTCAGGTTCTGGTGGTGAGAGAGTCTCTGCTGGAGGCCAGACCTGAAGAACAAGGCATCTCTGCACCGACCACACCCACCTGCCATGTTCTCTCTTATACTCACCAAGAACCACCCTCCCATCCTGATGGTCCAGTACAATATAACCCCCGAGATGGGCCCACACTGGAGGTGTTGGTGCCTTCATCTTTTGTTGGTACAACAATGACTACCCATTGCAGCTGGTGACCTGCCGTCTTAGATTTTAATATAGAGACCCTAACAGGTAAAGTCTATAATCTTGGTGGCTTTGGTTTTTGGTTTTTGTTTTCTTTCCTTTTCTTGACTTTTGGTTACATGAGGCCAAGTGCACATACACTGGGTTCTGCTCAATGAGGAGGATGCCTGCCTTATTTGTTTGTTTGTTTGTTTGTTTGTTTATTTATCTGTGCCTATCACTTGGGACCCTGAGATGCCTGTCTGGGAAAGAGACCCTGGACTCTCAATAGCCAGGCACTCACCTCTGAGGAGATCTTCTTAGGCAACGGGGCTGGCACTACAGGCTCTTCCACAGGCGCAGGTGGCTGCTGAGCTTCGCGGCTCATCTTGACCACAGCTTTTCGCTCCTGCTGCTGCCTGGCCATCTGCTGCGCCTTCTCTTCCTCCTCTCGCTTCTTCTTCTCCTCAGCCATGGACTCAAATTTTGCTTTCAGCCCACGAGCACCACTGGAAGCTACACACAGATGGAGAAAAATTAAGGGTGTCCTGGATCGTGAATGGGGGGGGGGGTGACGGTACTTGTGGAAAGGAGAGAACTTGGTTAAATATGCAGGAGGAGAGAGGATGAGAAGGAGACCAAGGAGGGGAGAAACAAGGCTTGGAGATCCTACGGCACTGAAGCCCACAGTCCATATGACAAAAGACCATTTGTCCTCTCAAAATTAAAGAGTTCCCGAACAGGCATTTTTCTCTGTCCATATTTTTTAAACCTGTGTGCCTCTACCCACCACCATCCTATTTCCCCATCCCAAGGGCCTACTCTCTCTGTCTTTCCCAGTAACTCCTTACTCTTCCTTCTGTGTGTCTCTGCCCCTAGTTTCTTCCTTAAGGCCACTCCCCTCGCCACCCATTGGTCTGAATTTTATAAGAGACAGAATCTGGAACTATGCGAGTAGGGATTTCAATTTCCTTGGCTGATCTCAGTAGTCAAGGCTATACAAGGGATAGTTTGGGAGGAGAGAAAGCCAGCAAAGAAAGGAGGCTGGAGGCCACAGAGACAGGAACCGCAAAGACTAACCAGCTTCTACAGGAGTTGTCTTCTTATATGCTGTGGTCGGGGCCTCCATCTCATTGAAGCCAACAGCACTCTGAAGAACAGTGCAGAAGAACAGTGTTTATAGTGTGAGCAAGCAAGAGGGTACTGACCCACAAGGCAGTGCTCAGGGGTAGGGCCACCCTGGGGGGCGCCCATAGCCGTGTAGTAAGCAATGGTTGGACCGGGTTCTCCAATATTATCTGGTAGATGACAGAAGGGTAAAAGAACTCCATTGGTGGGCTCAGCTCTCCTTTTGAAAGACCAATGGACTTACAAGCTCATGGTTTTCAGCCCAGTTACCTAGAAGGAAGCAAGGCCCGTGCTTATGTGGGAAAAGGAACTGGTGAACACACAGGACAGTGATATTATGGAGCAGAGAGAGACTTAAGATATGATTAAGAAATGACTGAAATGTCACATCTTTCCTCTCTGTCTCTCTGCCACCCTCTGCTCTTCTCAGTTAAACCTTAGGGTGCGGAACTCATGCTCCTTAGGTGTTAAAACCCAGCATGCCAGGCTCAGGACCCAGCTCCAAGAGTTCCATTTTTCTTCTGCCTCTCTCTTCCCTTGCCAGCCTCTGCGCATCCCCGTTACCACAGAGACACTCTCAAGACCATGGTGTTCCGCATTTACCTTATCCACTCGGTCTTTCTGGATTCCATACTGGCCACCAAAGCCCTTGGCATAATCTGTGGGAAAGAGAAATTTGAGAGTGAAAGCAGGAGATGAGAATTCTGGGAACAGGGAGGTACAGGAGCAGCGGGGATTATGAGACAGGAGTATGGAAGGTGTCAGAGAAAGGGGGAAGAAACGCCAGAGGTCAGAGAGAGACATGGATGATGGAAAGAAAAGAAAAAGTGTTGGGAGTGTGGGGGAGATTGGGAGAGAAGGAAGAAAGAGGTGACTGCCAGGGTAAAACACAAGGAAATAAATAGGAAAACTAGGTGAGCCCTCCAGCCATTCCTGCTGTGTCCCTGGAAAGAGCTCTGTCCCTTCCTGAGGCTGACTGGCGTGTGAGACTCAGGCCAAGCTACCTCCTGCCCATCACCCAGCCTGGCTCCACTCCTTCCCCAGTCCCCTTTCTTCCTTGCCCCTTCTCTGCCCAGCTTCCAATCCTGCTGTCCATTCCACACAAGGTGACGCCCCTCACACCCCTCCTCTCCTCATCTGCCTCTGTATTCTGGGACCCTAGGCCAGCTTCCAGAAAGGAAGGAAAGCAAGGGCCCTCTGCTACCCAGTGACCTCCCTCCTCCCAACCCGACTTACCTGTCTGAGACTCGTGCTTCTCCGTCTCTCCCTTGTAGTCATAGCCTAGAGCTGCTTTGTCCCGTTTATCCTTCTCTACTCCATAGCGGCCACCAAAGCCACGAGAGTAATCTGCAATACACGGGGAAGGCCCAGAGGCCAGCCTCAGCCCACTGGAAGAGGCTAGAGAGAGACTTCTGAAGGAACGAGTGCAGAGTGATGGGGCAGGGAAGGGCTTGGGCCTCAAAGACAGGTGAGCTACTTTAACATGCACAGCACCCTGACTTCCAGCCCAAGACGAGGGGATTACCTCAATGTCTTCCCTTCTTCAAGGAAAGGCTATGTACGGAGAATATGACAGGCAGACATATGAGCTCTGTGTTGTTTCTCCACTGCCCACCTCTCAGAAAACAGCGAAATCTCAGCCAAACCTAGTAATTTTTTAAGTAGTGAAGCTCAGAAAGAAGGAAGAGGGAGAAGGAAGAGATGGAACTGGAACAAGAAGAGGAGGAAGGGGTGGAGGAAGAGGGTAGGGGAGGAGGATATGATGCTGGCTCCAGAAAGAAATACAAGAGTCAGAGCTATGCAAATGTGAGGATGACTGTGAGCAGACAGTGGCAGAAAGCCCAAGTGCTTTAAAGTCAAAATGTAACGAGCCGGGATTAGGACCTGGGATCTGTGGTTCTAAAGTCTATACCGAGAGTGGGAGGGAAAGGGCATGGAAGCTGAAAAGGAGTTCTGCCCAGTCCTGTAAAATACCTAGGAAAATCCTGCTCACTTGTACAGGGAATGTCAAGGGGTCTTGTAATGTGTTCAGTATTTGACACGGGGAAATTTTACCAGTAGCATTTGGAACACCAGTCCTATGTATCCAATTGTGGATTATAAGGTTTGTTTTGTTTTTCAATTATAGGATTCGGGAAGTCTAAGCTAAGAAATTAACTTAAATACTGACCTCGGCAAATACTTACATGGTGGGTTCTGGGAGACGGGTCAGTAAAGTGCCAGGCAAATATGAGGCCCTGAGTTCTGGTCCCCAGCACCCAGAAGCTGGGTGTGCCAGTGTATGGCTGTGATTCTGAAGCTGGAGAGGCTAGGACAAGCTGTCCTGGGCTTGTTGACCTGCTGAGGGTCTTGTCAACTCGGTGATCTCCAGGGTTAAGGAAAGACCCTATCAGCACTGACACACATGAGCACATACGTGCCTGTGCATTCACACACAGGAGCAAGCACAAGCAAAGAAACGATATTCGTGGAAAGATTAGCATGAGGGGGGCAGCATGAATACACAAAGTAGACGGTAAGAAAGAATGCATTCTAAAAGTCAAGAGGGTACAGCAAGGAAGAGCCAGCACCCATCAAGAATAAGGAGACACTATAATTTATTGGGCTATCTAGACAAAAATGGGACAACTTCTTAAAAATCAGAATATTTTATAACCAACCTAAGAAAACACAGAAATATTCAATAGATCTACATCAAGTGAACTCAATAAAAGCAAAAGCAAACTTAAAAATACAGTTAATACAGTTCCTCATGTTGTAGTGAACCTAACCATAAAATTATTTTCGTTGCTACTTCATAACTGTAAATTTGCTACTGTTGTGAATTGTAGTGTAAACATCTGTGCTTTCTGATCTTCTTAGGCGACTGCTGTGAAAGGGTGTTTGGGTCCCTGCCAGTAGGTTGCGAACACTGCTAAAGCAAGTATATTTCAAGTTAGTTCCTTAAAGAGGGCAGGATCCATAATGACAAGACACAGGAAGAAGAAGGCAGTGTTGCAACAGAACCAAAGGGAACCTCCAGGGAGGAAAAGATCTTAAAATTAAAAGCTTAACTGTATGTTTAAAATATAATTGACTCAATGGCTGGCTCTTCGGCCCCTCCCAAGGGAGGACCAGCCTTGCTAGGCCACAGAAGAGGACATTGCAGCCAGTCCTGAAGATAGCTGATAAGCTAGGGTCAGATGGAAGGGGAGAAGGTCCTCTCCTATCAGTGGACTTGGAAAGGGGCAGGGAGAAGATGAGGGAGGGATGGTGGGATTGGGAGGGAATAAGGGAGCATGATACAGCTGGGATACAGAGTAAATAACCTGTGATTAATATAAAAAAATAAAAATTATTATAAAAATATAATTAACTAGAGTTAAAAGAAGAGTTAGGGAACTCCGTAAGGATCTAAGAGAATTACCCAGAATCCAGCATGGGGAAACAAAGACATAAGAAACAGAGAAGAAAGAAATTGAGGAACTCTGAGAAGGGAATTAAAGGTCTAACAAACATCCTGTAGGAGTTCCCGAAGAATGAGAGAGAAAGCTGTAGAGAAAGAGGAAAACCTAGCAACTTTCAGAAAAGAGGCCATGACTGAAGAGAAGCAGAGAGTCTCAGATGATAATAAAAACAGAACTAGAATCGAGTATCAGAAACAAACAAATAAATAGAACTCACCTTCTTTTAATACTGCCCACTTTTTTACTACTGATGTTTAACCCAGAACCTCATCCATGCCAGGCAAATGCTCAGTGACCTACATTCCCGCTCCTCCCCGACCCTTTTAACTTTGAGGGAGAGTTTCTTTAACGTCCATACTGGCCTTGAACCCACTATGTAGCCCAGTCTGGCCTTGAACTTGACATTTTCTTGCCTCAGTCCTCTAAGCAGCCAAGATCAAAGATCAGTGCCACCAGGCCTGGCTTAACTTTTATTTTTAATTAAAAAAAAACTCATCTATTACCTATAAAAAATGACAATTGGACTGACATGAGAGAGACCCCAAACAATGAAATAATGTTTTCAAAATAATGAAGGGAAAAACCATGATGGAAAACACGTAGTCCATATATATATATATATATATATATATATATATATTAGTATATATATATAATCTCCCCATATATATAGGTTTTGTTGTTGTTGTTTTGTTGAGACTGGGTCTCTCTATGCAGCCATGGCTGTCCTGGAACTGGTTATGTAGACCAGGCTGGCCTTGAAATCACAAAGATCCACCTCTCTCTCCCTCCTCAAGTCCTAGGCATAAAGACATGTGCCACCATGCCCAGCACCATTTTATTTTATGTTTGAAACTAAGATATAAACACTATACTGGACAACAATAATATAGATGGTAGAAAGAGTATAACTAAAATACTGTTTCTATATTATTCACAAAGATAGTGGTTATTTTAAATTTTGGTTGAACGTATGTGTTAAGTTTTAAAAATAACAAATTCCAGAACAAAGGAGAATATTGGACCTTCGACCCTTCAATCAGGAAAAGAAAGGGTTAGATAGACTTGATCAAGTTCCCGGAATGAATTGAGAGAGAAGCCAGCCCCCAAGCGGAACTGAAAAGTGTCCGGAACAGTGTGGCACTGGAAGCAGGGAGCTGTGAGCAGGGAAGCTGGCTAGCCAGGGGCCCAGGTGCTTGCCTTTCTGAGATGCGTGCTTCTCCACTTCTCCCTTGTAGTCAAAGCCCACTGCTGACTGCAGAGAAGGGAAAGAGAAACCGTTAGTCATTGCTCTTTGCTTCCTCCCTCTTGACTTAGCCTTACTTTCGACTCAGTCCCAGAGGCAGCGTTAGGGACCCGGGGCTAGGTTTGGAGGTTTGAAGTAGAAACAGTGTCACAGAGCAGTCAGCGTGGGCTCTGGACATTACACCTTCTAGATGCAACCCCACTTTTCCTGCCTGTAGTTGTTTAGCTTTGAGGGAAATTCCTTAACGTCACTGAGTACTGGTCTCTAAAATGTTAGATGTGTCTCACCCTCCACAATCTCTCTGTCTGAAATACTACAACAGCTCAGCAGAGCAAGGTATCTACAGCATCTTCTCTGAGTTACTCAAAGAAGGGGCACTTTTTTTCCTAAGTAAGCCACACACAGAGACTAAAAGGAGGCAATGGGTAGTAAAGGCTTTGTAAACTGAAAGCTCGTGTGCACATGGGCTAGTCACCTGGCTCCCAGTGAACTGCACTGGTTTCAGCATGGCCTCCACAGGGATGGAAGACACAGGTTTGGTGGGATGGGAGCTATGAGTTTCTAAGTAAGGGTCAGCTTTTGTCTTAAGAACTAACTAGTTTCTCGGCCTGCCTCCGTCTCCACTTTCCTCTCCCTCCTCTTTCTCTGGCTCCCCTATGTCTGAGGCTGTCCTCAGATTCCCTCGATAGACAAGGATGATTTTGAACTTGAGGGAAGACAGAAGATAGCTGATTCTTAGATGAATGGACAGCTAGGGAGAGGGGTCCTGGATGAGGCCAGGCTAATCCCTGAGTGCTTCCACGTTAGATGCAAGACAGTTTACTCCGGGACTCTCGCCCAGAAGAAATGCCCTCATTGCTGTTTTTGGTTTCTTTCTTTCTTTCTTTCTTTCTTTCTTTCTTTCTTTCTTTCTTTCTTTTTCTTTCTTTCTTTCTCTCTCTCTCTTTCTTTCTCTCTCTCTCTCTCTCTCTCTCTGGCAGGCTACTGGTCCAACTCCTAGCTGGCAGGCCAACTTTGTCCTCACCCCACTGTGGGCCATAGATAACCCACCAGGTAGGTTTAGCTGGGCAAACTCCATGCTAGGAGACTAACTCCTCCCCCTTCCCACTACACTGCAGGCTACTAACCATGAGGCCCTGTGGGGTCTGTGGGTTTTCTTCTCTGCAATTGCCAAGGTCACCACCAGTGTTTTGCTCAGTCAGATCCTTGCTGTCATTTAAAATGACACAATCACTAAATGCATCCTGCCTAGACCAGCACAAGAAGAAATGGAAGCAAGCTTTGTTCACACACTGTTAAGAAGCGTATACACCCAGACCCCTGCAGAGCAGATGCTGTTCCCTCTCCAGACGCACAACATTATGCAGGGGGCTCTGGCTCTAGCATGTGTGTCACATGCTAGTCCTGCTGCAATGCCTCTTACACGTGGTAGACCGCGTGCACAGTTCTCATCCTGTGATTCTTTACTCAGTGGACAAATAGCTCTCCTTCTCCGATTCTTGATTTCTAGGATGCATTGGGTTGCTTAGGTGATGCAATCTGTGCTTGTAAAATGCCAGCTAACAGCAAGGGATTGGACGGAGACAACCAGGAGAAGCCTAGACATTGCAGGAAATTCTCTCTTCTTTCTAGAACCATCTGTGCGCCACATGACATTATTGTCTCTAGACATGTTTTCTCTGCTTTCCTTTTCTTTTACAGCATGCTTTAAACTTCCTTGGTTTTGTTTGGGTATATTTTCCCCAACAGTGAAAACAATTACTGTTCTATCACTTAGCTGACTTAGCTGCTTGGATTTAGGCCTACCTAATGAGCAACTGCCGAGGATCATCATCATCCTCATCATCCTCATTCTCCTCCTCCTCATCATCATTTCTTACCCAGGTGTAAAGAGTCTCCACCTCATTCCTCTCTCATTCCACATCTTATTTATCTCCCTGCCCCTTTCCTTCTTCCTAATCCTCTCCCTTCCTGTCCCTTGTCACTTCCCCTTTCAGAAGAGACTCCAACCTGTACCATGAAAGAGAATTCGAAGTTGATATCGTAAGGCAGAATTTAAAGCATCAGGAAGCCACCATCCTTGCTCCTCCCACCGCACCACCCTGTCCTCCATTAGTAGTGTGCTTTCTCTTTAAAATTCCTCTTGGGCACAAAAGAGTCTCTATCAACACTCCAGCTTCACAGATTATTGTTCAGTCCTTCACCTTCTCAAAGCACTGTGGTCCTAATTAGTTGACTGGTTTATTTGCTTAGGTAGGAGATTCTCTCTTCTCTCTGCTAATGGCCTGAGGAACCCCAGACCTGCCAAATGTAAATGGATAATTTGATGTTCAGCATGCAGCCCCCAGCACTAGCTGTCCGAGCTCAGTGCCAGCACCAGACACCGATGGCCCACTCTCCTGTCTTTCACCTGAGAAGCAAGGACCTACACTTAGGGCTGGGGGTTGGTAAGGTCCACATAGTTTAAGGAGCATGGTAGAGGGAGAACGCTGCCACCTACCTTGTCTGCCCGGTCCCTCTCAACTCCGTATTTGCCCCCGAAGCCTCTGGCAGCATCAGTCTGAGATGAGTGTTTCTCCACATCAGCAACATACTCGTGGCCCACAGCACTCTAAGGAAAATCAGGGATGGAGTGAACAACAAAGTGGAATGACCTCAAGAAACAGATGGTGATGGCAAATGGATGTTGGGATTCAAGAAATTCCATTCTGTGTCAGATCCATTGCCTTTGACAGTGGTGCCAAGGAACCTATGATGGGGGATAATGTCGCTAAAGAGCCATTGCTCAGAAACCTCCAGGAATGTACTGGCAGGCAGAAGATAGAGAAGAGACAGCCAGAGATGAAGGGAGAGGAGAGCTCCAATGGGGGAACTACAGAGCAAAACGAATGAGCAAAGCCTGGGCACACCAGAAGACACTGACTAGATAACGTGACAAACATTTTCACTCCATCAACCTATATTTGTCCAATTTTACTTGTGTGGACAATCAAAGTTCAGAAGTGAATTCTGAACTTTCCAATGTATACACAGAAGATCACTAAAGAGCCGAGGAGAGGTTCTGTAGGCAAGAGTCCTTGCTCTGCCAACGTGAAGACCTCAGATCAGATCTCTAGCACCCACAAAATAAGCACAGGCATGGCTGCTTGTACCTAGAACCCCAGCATGGGAGGGTGGAGACAGGTGGATTCTGGGAGCTCCCTTCCCCAAACCAGCCTAGCTGAAATGATGAGCTTCACATTCAGCAGGAGATCTGTCTCAAGACACTAACATCTTGCTGTGTTAGAGGAAGACATTTGACATCCTGCTGTGCCCACCACACACACATGCACACATTCATGCACCATACACAATACATGCATACACATACGATCACATAATGCAGTAAAGTGGCGGTTCTCAGCTTTACTAATGCTGCATCCTTTTAATATAGTTCCTCATGTTGTGGTGACCACAACCATACATTTATTTCACTGCTACTTCATAGCTGTAATTTTGTCACCGTTATGAATCGTAACGTAGATATCTGATTGTAGGATATCCGATAAGCAAACCCCAAAGGGTTATAAGAGAAGGTGCAGTAGAGGGAGAATACACAGCCTTTAAAGGCAGCAAACAATTCTATCTCCTATTTTTCCTTTTCCACTAATGTTCCCTGTCTCTTCAGTCTAAGTGTGGCCTAGCTAGGATTGAAACCTGCTCCCAAAAGAAGCTTTAAAGGAGAAAGGTTTTATTTTGCTACAATTCCAGGTTAGGGTCTTTCACTTTGGGGAAGTCAAGGCAGGGACTTGGAGGAACTGTCACATCCACAACCAAGAGCAGAGGAAATAATCGTGGGTGCTTGCTGCTCAATTCACTGTCTCTACACTTACACAATAAGGACCAAGGTCTAGAGAACAGTGCAGCCCACAGTGGGCTGGGTCTTCCCAGATCATTTAAAGTGATTGAGATGGTCCCCAGACACGCCCACAGGGCAACCTGATCTAGACAGTGCTTCACTGATGCGCTTTTCTCAGGTGGTTCCAGATGGTGTTGAGTTGACAACTAAAACTAACCATCACAAGGGGTCACAGTGCACCAGGAGCTGAAACAGGCCAGCTGTTCCAATGTCCTGACTTTCTTTTCTATATCTTGTGTGTTGAGATCAGGGAGAAAAAAAAAATTTATACACACACACACACACACACACACACACACACACACACACACATATGTGTGTGTATACATATTAATGTTAGGCCCAGCATGAGCCTAATTTCCATAAGGGATGAAGAGAATTCAGGAGACCAGGTCTCATCAATGCAAAATCGCAAGAGGTTTATTTTAACCTTGTGCAATGGGGTCACCCCTGCCGGTCAGCAAACACACACACACACACACACACACACACACACACACACACACACACA